TTGCTCTAAGCAATTAAGCTACCGTGTCTTACACGTACAAATTGTCACTATATTTCTTTCTAACCTTTAATCGATTGTTTATCATATACACATGTGTTAAACAGTTTTATTTTTTGTGCACTTAAAACTACAAAAAAAATGTCATAATTATCGTGTTTTACTAGTGTAACCCTTTCATTTGATACCCATATAATGAGGGGTTAAGGAAAAATCTGCAATCCGCCATTATGTATAGGCGGCCATCTTGGATTTATAATGTTATTGCTTTTTATTATATTGTATTGTCATCTAGATTAAATGTGTGTACCAAATTGCAGATCAATCTCACAACGGGAAGGTGTGGGACGAAAGGTATTTTGGCTTTGGATATTCGGAAATCCTGAAACTTGATTAAATCCAACACGTTTCAGAAAAAGTATAAAATTGAATAGTAAAATGTTGGACCCAGTGAGGATCGAACTCCATTGATTATTAGCCGAAAATTGCAACTAATAAACACTGAGGCCGTCAAACAGTTAAATTTATACAATTTTTAAATGGTCAATGAGTTTCGCACTTTTTGTGCGTTGCCTTTTCTTTCTTGATAGGTTAGGGTGGTCCAAGTCGAAGATGATGCCCGCTCAGGGCTCCCTTGGTCTAGCCGCAAGCACGATAACCTCCGGTTAGTTTTATAGGCCCTGGGCCACAATACATAACAATCATTACAAAATATTGACGTTTTACTTTGATCGCCTTTACAAAAGTTTGAAACAAATCGATCACTAGCATGAGAATTGGCCCCCACAATCCGACATCGATGCGTGCGCGCCGCTCGAAACCCTCTCCATTCGCCAACGAGGAAGCAATTGACTCCCAGCAGACGCTGACCTTACGATTTGATTCACAACTGTATCACTTTGATTCTTATACTCTTGATAACATTGCTTCGAATGAGGATTGTACTTCTTTTTGTTGCTATGATATACATAAATGGTCAGGTTAACCGCCTTTGCTGAATGTTTAATAATACAATATTAATTTACAAATAATAAATAGCTTAAAAATAATAAACAGTTGACCTAAATTGTAAAATTTGATATTAGCGGAACCAACGGTATATTTGGTGTAAATCTAGGGTTATCTATTTAGAACTAGATCTTTGTTTTCTTAGATACATAATTTTGCGTTCTGCATGTTTCGGCTTTTGCTGGCAATGCTTTATCTACCAATAAATATATAAGTACTATTTTCTTTATTAGTTTTTATCTTTGTTATATTGTTAAGTTAATCACTATCATGTTGGATTACTATTCTGTAAGGACATGTGATTGATCAAAAATAATAACGTATCAACGAATCATGTGTAGCATTTTTAAGTACTTACTTCTTATAAAAAGGCTTTCCAATTTACCACGGCCAATAATGAATGAGTTAAGTAATAAACGTAATATTATGACGCAGGTATAATACTGTAGGTACGTCAACATGACGTTAAAAATGTTTAACGTAAATTAAATTAAGTTTTAATCTGTTATAATTACTTACCCATTCGTGACGTGGTGTTTGGTTTATTTGAAGATAGAAACGTACTAAAAATATATAAATGTATACTTACTATACATTTATTTTATTATATTACATTTTTAACACGTTAAAATTGATTTATTATCTTTAAATTTTAATGAAATGCAGGTTCATTCCACAGTGAGACCCCGTATTCCGTACGTGGGGTATATATATCATGATCACATAAAATCTGTGGTTAAGAAAATGCAGACAGAAAATTCAGTACGTTTACTTACCCTTACACTTGCACTTTCGGAGATTCAGGAATAATTTTTCATTTGTTTCCAAAAGACAAAACTATAGCAAAAAAATGGGAGACTGCTTAAGAGAGTTTCTCGACTGCTAAAGAGATAATGTTTAGTGCTCCAGAACAATCTGTAATAAAATCAATTGCTCGAAGAAGCATCCACTATTAATGAATTATTGTCTCGGCCAGCGATAAATACAAAATCCTATTTATATTAAACTAGCTGTGCCCGCGACTTCGTTCGCGTGAAATAGTGACTTGGGGTAGAATTTTTAATTATTTAGGCTGTTTATTAATTTATGTAATTGCGCATTTATCGCAGCCAATATAGATTGACAACATTGGTTGTAAGTGCTACTTTGCTCCCACTCCCACTCTCACACCCACTGCCACTCCCACTCCCAAAAAGCCAAAGAAAAAAGTTTCATTGTTCTAGTTTCAAAACCACGAATTTCCATACAAACTTTCAACCAACCCCCCCCCCCTCCCTCCCCCTTTAACCCTTTTCGCAATAAAAACATGTCCTTTCTCAAGTAGATCCATATGTGTACCAAATTTCATTTAAATCCGTTCAGTAGTTTTGGCGTGAGGAGTAACAGACAAACAGACAGAGTTACTTTCGCATTTATAATAAGGATTAGTAAGGATTAAGTAAATTGTATAGAAAACAGTTGTGTCATTTTTAGAAAACTTCCCAAAGCAAGACCTAACTTGAGGCGCTAGTTAGAATCTTTTCATCGCCTACAGTGACTGCAAGCTTTATTAAATCAATAAAGATATTTTAAAAATAAGCCCGAGACAAGACGAATACGTAGACATTCGTAATGATCAAGATGGCCAATTGATCATTGATCAGTATTCAGTTGGAGGAGCTATTAATATTTTAATTGCGCGCGCGCACTTCGTTCAACGATATGGCGCCAACTTTCTTCTGCTACTGTTGCTAACCAGACGTTAAATGAATTGTTTAATGTTATATGTAAAAAACCGGAAATTGAAAAATTTTACTTTCGTTGTGTGAATTCATTGAATTCGTCATTTAAATAAACCACTTGAACGGTTTAAAATGCGATATATTTTAGTTCAACTTATTAGAAAATTATGTATTGTCTTCCCGTGACCACGACTGCTGCAAAGCATCCGAAACGTTGGGACGTAATTAATATAATTTTCAAATAAGTTTAACTCATATATATCGCGTTTCAACCCGTTATAGTGTTTTATGTAAACGTGTACTTCTCGCGTAAACTACAGACAGTATTTGATATGTCATGTCAAATTTTGTTTGTCCCCGGAACTTTATAACCATTTCCGTTCTGTATACATGGATAAGCTAATAAAATAACGAGCCGTCGCACTAGAATTACAATTTTAATAATTGTTATGTGACAGAGATATGGATAAGTTAATATAAATTCTAAGTCTAGGTATGTCTAGTTAGGTCTAATTAGTATCTATTATACTTATTTTTTTTTTATATACTTTTTTATGATGGAGGAGCACAGGCAATCCTGGGCTTCAATGTCGACCTATTTTTGGATTAGGATATTCGGAAATCCGCGGACTGAAAACGTAACGCGAATAAATTTGACGAATTTTCATCTGTAAACTATTAGGCATCCTTTGGCATAAGAGGTTGTCCATTAATAACGTGACCTTTTTTAGAATTTTTAAACCCCCCCTCCCCCATTGGTGATACGTAGTGATGTTTAAATCTAAATGCAACTCCACACTCCAGGTCTAAACTGTATGAATTTATCGTGTACTGTATACTTAGAATTGAGGACAATTTACCGCAAAATAATGAAATAAATACTATATTGATCAAGACACTAAACACAGATACGTTGTTTACAATGCAATCAACAAAGTACTGTTTAATATTTATCGAAGCCGTATCAATCTGGCAACAATCACTCCACAGACTTGTTTACTTAATTTTCTTAGTAATTAACACCCTTGTTGTATAAACAGACACGTGTTTATCACAAAATAAACTAAAATAAAGACCGAGGCTAAGATTAAGGAATTTAAATTTAATTTATTTGTTTAAACTAATTAAATTTAAGTGAGTATCTAACTACGACCTCATGATAGGCTTTAGTTTTAAAATAGATAATTAGTGTTTTCAAGTTATGAAATAACATTGATATTAGTAAAGTCAGTAAAACTGTCTAACTATTATCATAGTATAAACTAATTTATTTCACATTAATGTTGGATGTCCATTGCCCTGTAGACCCTATAAATACGTAGTTCCGATTTAAAATGATTGAATAATATTTCATTTCACATAATAATTCGAACAAATGATTTTTAACGAACAATTCTTTATATTATTTGAGTATGCAACAGGGTAAAAGTAAAAGTAAGTTTAACGCCATTTCTTAGACTTTAAACGCGTTTTGTAAATAGGCAGTGAAACAAGATAATACTTTCATTTACGATATCCATAAAGATAGCGGGATAAATGTTGGTACAGCGATAATATTTGGGAGTTTTTGTACAGATCTATATACCTAATATAACAAATGCATAAATTATTTCTGTTCAAATAATATACGATAAAACATTATCCTCTTTTTAAATATACTAAATTAATGTTATTATAAATAAATACATTACACTAGCTTTGACCGTTATTATTTACTTTTATTGTATGTTTGTGAAAACTATACTTAATAACGCATTAATAATACTTCAATATCCTAGAAGTTGAATCATATTAAATCTTTACAAAATAGGATATAATATGTATTTAGACTTGTTAATACGAATGTCAATTTTCTTAGCAATCATTCGAATTCCAGAATAAAATTGACCTTGAACGCCTATGCCCGGATTTTAAGAGAACGAGTTGAATAATTATAGATCACTGTATTTTAGTGTTGAGGTACACGTGAAATATTATCTATGTGTAAAGAATTCGATCAATTAAAAGCCAAATAAACGTATTGTTTTGGCATTGAGTTCTGTCGACTTGAATTTCATTATCAGTCGATACTACTGAGTCACGTATCGTCATCGTTCTCACTGAGTAGAGTACAAGTTAGTTCGCTTGCACTAGCGACGGCGTGCGGTCAAACTAGTCAGTAGCCGCTAAGTGCTCCACTATTTTCGTTCGCTCATACCAAAGTGCGCCATTTCCAAACTAGTGTGACCGATTCCCGAACGGGAATTTCCACTAACAAACCCTCAATCCGGACGGATGACTGACATAACAATATCGTTTTTGGTGGACCGCGAGAAGCAAGGAGGCGTTATGGAGAGTTGGTACAAATTGTACACATGGGTGAATTACACCGTGCTGATGCTGCTGTTGCAGATTTTTTGGAAGATTAGCCAAATATCCAACTATTTTAAACAAAAGTAAGTACGCCTATACACTTTAGGAAACTAGGAATTCATGCAACCTTAAAAAATGTGATAGGCATTTCCCGGTACAATCAACGACGCTTTTTGACTTAGGCCATGACATTTTTTATCGCATACTGTTATCTAATTGATAGCTAAAAATCTTATCATACAGTACATTGTTGACATTTTTCCATATAATTTGTATTGCCTATCTCCTTTTTTGGTATATAGGCCCAATAAGGTTAGGACAGCTAGGTATAGGACCTTCAAATAGCTATGTGATATTCATAATACAACATTGATCAATATTACAATACACAATGATTCTATTCCGTTGTTTTTGTATCGCGACAAACTAGTTTTATGTTCGTGATCAACGTTCAAAACTTTTATAATAATATTAGCATACCTGCACTGCTACATTCATTTCGGTAATAAAACTATGTTTTATCTAAGTATTATGAGTTTTCTATCGAAGCGTAAATGTGATCAATTGTGTATAAAATCAAATATTAAAGATCAAAGAACAAATAAGTAGACTTCGGTAAAGTATTCCGAAGTTAATTACTTTTATTGTCTATTCTTAACATAGACCACGAATTCTAATGATGTGTCTATAATTTATGAGAACTGATAGCCGCATTTTCTATAGCGTTATCAGTCAAAGTGTTCATCTTTCGTCTTGAATTTTAGTTATAAACCGGGCGAGACTCAAACCTACTAACACAGACTTATGTGTCCTGACAGACAGGAAGCATTTATTATGTTTAACATCTGAGTCACAGAGAGGTGTAAAATCAGTATTTCTTATAAAATAATCCAGTTAAGAGAAAAAACAAAAAAAGGGTTTATATTTTAATTTCAATAGTTCTTAGTTATTATAGACCAATTTAATTCTTTCTATCAGAATACGGCCATATTGTCAATGCTGTAGGTATAAGATTTATTTTATTGGACCAGCTCGTGTGTCTACTTGTAATGACTACCATTACAAGTAGTAGTAATGTAGAGATACTGCTTATAATCAAGGGGTCGTGGGTTCAATATCCTTCCAATCAATTTATTATTTTTCCGAACTGAATAACTTCGTCTGGAAATCTAAATATTAAATGGATGATAGGAATATTGAAATTCCGTTGGGGCCATTAGCCTTCTCCACAAGAGAAAAGCCGTTTAGTTTAATAGCGTTTTAGTTTCAGTCTGTGGATTTCCGAATGTCCAAAGTCGAAAAAGTCGACAGCTTATTTTGTATAGGTATTTGGTCATTCATTGAGTAATTCACATGCTTATCTATCCTCCTCTGTCCTAAAAAGTAAAAAGAAATCTATCGTAATATGTATAGTGTACAATAAAACCGTGAATTCAATTATTTAATCAAGAATAATGCCTACTCATTAAAATGAAAAACGTCCCTGAAATATGTTTAAAATTAATTGTTTATTCTTAACATAACTTATCAGCAAAACAAACAATAAGAACAACATCACTGTAACCCATTGTTTTGCGTTTTTGTTTTATAAATCATCACGTTTTCTGTACGTTTAGAATTCGTGGAAAATTTAATTATAAGTAAAGTTGCATTCGATTGAAACATTATCCTATTAAGAATTTATTTCAGCTGCATTGAATGTACAAAAGAACTCTTTACAGTGTCCTTATCGAACCCATATGTAATACATGATTTTAACAGCAATAATATTTTGCCAATTAACTTAATTATGTATGTGTACAAAAACAGAATCAAAGGTCATCTTTATTAATAATCAAAATAATTGCTTCATTAAGATTATTCCAAAGTTTAATATTGTATGTATGTATAATTTAAGCATAACTATAATATAATATGTATATCTTTTCTTACTCATACGTAGCGTAATCATAATGTATTTGTATTATTTATTAGAATAAGTTTTTTTTTCGCATGAACGTACATTAAATTGACACGAGGCGTGCTTGCGTTAAGGGCTCAAATTAAAAAATAATAATTAAGTTTTTAATCAGTATGTCTTGTATTAAAAGTGCTTAAAGAATAGGTGGTGGATGATGGAATTAAAAACAGTAAAACCATATTTGGAATGTCTAGATAGATACTAAGACGAACAAAGAAAAATGATAAGCGAAGGTATTTAAAAATTGTGTCAACATTTTGGAACAAATCTCCTCTCTCATATGATACGTTTAAGAATGTAGACCCACCACGTTGCTTCAATTTGGATGGTGGGTTTTAAAGACAACTGGTACTAAGTATAGATATTGGGACTTACGTCCTAACAGGGGTGATGATACTAAAATTATCTTAGATTAAAATAAAACACTTTAACAGTTTAAAACGCGATACATATTAGTTAAACTTATTTGAAAACTATATTAACTACGGCCCGTGACCACGGCGGATGCAAGGCGAAACGTCAGGCCGTAGTTAAAATATTATTCAAATAAGTTTAACTGATATATATCGCGTTTTAAACCGTTCATGTGTTTTATTTAAATGTGTACTACTCGCGTAAACTAAATACAGTATTTTATCTTATATTTATTAAACACATGGAACTGGCATATCACCTTATACCTGGTACCGGGTAGAATAACAGATGTCCTACAAAATTATTGCACATAAATACTTAATTAAAGCAACATGAAACAATTTGCAGTTCATTTAACTATTTGGCACGAAAACTCTGAAGAAGATCATAAAATAATAATTTTAATTAAGATACAAGCTGTTCTAAAAATACAGTTGACTCATATTGGCATCGTGGAGGCAGCGAAGGTCTTTGTCACTTCCGAGTTCGAACTGGTTAGCCTAAGGGTGGCAGTATAAGGAAATATAGAAGGGAGTTTTTAATAGGAATCGCCATAGATGCCCCAGAATTCAAATTTACACATATTGCGCTTAAAACTATACAAGCTACCCGCATAACGAATATGTTATGTATTTACATTTTTCGCTGTATTTTATATATACAGAGTGCCAAACATTTAAAAGTTTTCTTTTATTTAAATTTAGTTTTGAATATCGCAAAATAAATTAATTCTGAGTCGACGAAATAAGTTAAATATTGTCTGTCATTTACTCGGGTAGAATTTTAAATAAAACACTTTTGGTTAGTTTAAAGATTGTTACATATTTTTGACATATATAAAAGAAAATAAGCTATCTAAAATATTCGCATTTGAAACTGTTGAAATGGTTTCTTAGTGATGTTTACCACTCCCGTAAATAACAGACAATACAATGACATTTGATTGTGTTATTAACACAGATAAATCAATTACTTTCCCAAAAAAATTACAGATAACGCGAAAACAAAATAATCAAGCAATATTGAAGCATCATTCTAGAAAGTGGAACGAGATTTGTATTTATGGGTTAAATACATATAAAATAAATGGGTCTGAAGCGACGTGCTTTTATTGTCAAGATGCCAACGGATTTTGTTTAAATAACATTTTGAATTTTATTTCTTAAATATGTCGTACAAGCATGTGGTAGTTGGCACCGTAAGACCATTGTCTTCTACAAATAAAATTAACGAAACAAAACAGCTTAGTAACAACACATGAGTAGCGTAAAGTGTTAGTAAGTACTTTTAACATCTTTCTATACTAATGTTATAAAGGCTTATTTGTTTGATAGCGTTAATCTCTGGAACTACCACTTCGAAATGAAAATTAATTTATGTATTGACATCAGGCATAGCGATGAAACAGGGGGAAATGTGGATAATACGGAGAAAATTATATACCCTTAAGGGATCCCGTTGACATCGATGAACGGTTTAAGAAACCAATAAATATGTAGGAAAGAATGATTCTTCTTTTAATGATCTAAAAAAAATGTTTACCATAATATATGTCTATGATCAAGATAACTCATTATCTATATATATATATATATATTAAGATCAACTCGTGAAAAAGACGGGACGCGAACGATCTGGGTAACAGTAACAGCTAGTATTAAATAATAATAAAAATTAAGTAATAAGACCATAAGAAATTTTAAATCTAATCAGTGTTTAGTTGGGTTAGTAACAATACTTTTAAAAAGTTATGTTCAATAATTTTGTGATTTTTCTAAAGCCTCCCAACCCGCACTGCAACAGCGTGAAGGTTAATTAAAGAAGTCCTCATGATTAGGACATTTTTATTTTGCCATAACAGGTTGGAACGACTAAAATACTCCTATGTGTTTCGGAACATACCTAGTATCATTCTCAGACGTCTAATTCAAGGACATTATTGCGACCGACTAGCCTCGGCTTAGAGGTAAAGAGCATTGTCTTAAGCGCGAGAGGTGCTGACTTCGAATCCTGGGAAAATATAGATAGTTTCGGTCGGAAACAGCACATATAAATAAACAATTTGACTGTAATAAGCGAACAATGAAATGTCTTGAATAAGACCAGTCTCATAAGCGTTCGATTCTTTAGCCGTCTATAAATAAGATAATTTGTTGCAGAGACTATCTGTAGTTTACGCGACTCGTCCACATTTAAACAAAACACTGTTAACGGTTTAATGTTTCACGTTTTAAACCGTTAAACGTGTTTTATTCAAAAATACAGTGTTTAAGATGCATAAACATTATTACGCAAGGTGAATCAACACTTTATTTTTAAAAGGTTATGCAACAAATATTGCGCAATAATATTTTTGAATCCTATCAATTAAAAGAACGAAAATATATTCTTCATTTATACTATTGTCAAGTATTTCGTGGATTGCTTCCAAGCAGAGTTTCACAGCCTCGGCGGGGTCAAGTTCGTGCATTTCAGTTATCGAATTCTGCAACACAATTTCTGCATCATAAGTCCCTCTATGCTATTGACGTTTTGTCGCTTATACATTCAAAGTCAAAACTCCTCCTGCTCAAATACGAGATAAACTCAATTCTTATATTTATTTAATCTTAACGGCTTATTTATTACCTAAATACTTATATAAAATACAATATAATTTACATTTATACAAACTAGGGAATACGTATTTAACTTACAGACAAGCACATCACTGCTTATTAATAACACAGGAGAAAAAATATATAAATTATACGATCCATAATATAATGAAAAAAACTATATATCGCGTTTATTTATTTATTAATCTAATAATAATTTTCTCTATTAAAATACTATTGTGCGTAGTTGCTCTATATGAGATATAGGGACATTTCTGTGTTAGTTTTAAAGCCCCATTTTAATTAAAGTTTTTATCATTCTTATAAACTCACTGCGATCGTTTTTTTTACTAGCTGTGTTTGCGTAGACTAAGGCACAGTGAACATTTTCTCAGTTACCGAGGTCGTGGGTTTGACTTCCGCTTCGCTTTTAATTCAAAGACGATATTAATTATCTTTAATCCTCTAGTATTCTATATTATTAGCGACTCCTGTTCAACTCTATAAATTTAAGGCTGTTACCCACGACGTCGGACGCGTTCTGTCGTTCTTGCAAGTTTATTTTAAAGGATAGACATATATGGACACTTTTTTAGATCCTTTAAGGAGGAATCAACCTTTCATATATATGTTAATTACAGCACTATCTTACGTGTTTCCAGAAAATTATATATTAATTATGATACTATGTTCACATAATTATTATCGTACGTTTTCCGTTTATTTCATTTTTTTTTATCTTATGAAAACAATGAATTGCAATTAAATTGCTCGCTTTGAATTGTTTGCTGAGCAATTTTATTACACTTCATTAATTAATGGAGTAATTCACCTTGCTCAAAGATATTGTTTTACCCTTCAAATATTATGTGATATAATATACTATTTTTTCAACGATGATACACTACAGTGAAATAATCAGTATCTATTTAAATACAAATACAAATACAAATACAAATTCTTTATTCACCAAAACTGTGTACATAACATTACAGGGTGTGCTAGCCCCCACACTAGGATTCCCTGTGTCGTGGGCGGCTAGACTCTTCCGGTGCATTTCGAGAAAAACAATGAAAAACTTAGTATCTACTATGTACTTATAAAGTTATTATATGCTAAGTATTTAAATAATAAAAAATAAACTTAAAAATATGGATAACATTTTGTCATGCAATTACCTTAATACAGTTTTCTGTTTGAGTATAATTTAATTTTAGAAGAAACACTTTAATTTTATTTAATTGGGAGGAATAAGAAGTAAGTGGGCTAATTATATTTTTATTAATGAATAAGTTAAGCAGGAAGGGACCTTTAAAATTAAATGTGTTAATTGTTTAAAGCGCGAAATTTATTAGATAAACTTATTTAAAAATTATTTTTACTATGGCCCGACGTTTCGGATGATTTGCAGTAGTCGTGGACACGGGGACTCTAGAGATCGAGGGTGTCTCGGACGTCAAAGTATAAAACTGCTACGCTAGTGGCACTCGTTCCGCCGAATTTGGTATTTGGCGAAAAAGTTTAACTAATATATATCGCGTTTTAAACGTAAAGTGTTTTTTTTTCAATGTGTACTACTCGCGTAAACTACTACACTACTACAGTATCTATTCAGTATCTAGTTTTTATAACGCGGTAGAAGGTAGAATATGAACGCGTTTAGCGTAAAAATGGCGCATAAGTTGTTCATTTACGTTACAACTTACTCATCAACTTGGGAATGTATTGATAAAATGATGTCATCTCAAATAAAATACCGTTAATGGCAATATGGTCTGTTTATGTGTTTGTGGCTTAGAATCTATAATTAATTTGAAAAACATAAAAAATCTTATTCGTTCTATTCCTATAATGACTCAAGGCTAGTATCTTAAGTATTTTCTATCCTACGCAAGTAGTACACTTTAAAATAAAATAATTATAACGGTTTAAAATGCGAAAAATTTGTGTATTTTAGCACTTTCGGATTTGCAACCGTGCCCCCGTAACCTCACTGCTGCAAAGCATCCAAAAGGGGGTTGTAGCTAAAATCAATGTTAAATGTATGTAATGTTTTTTTTTATAGAGGAGGACAGTTAAGCCTGGGGTTTACTTGATGGTAGGTAAAATACCTACCATACCCATATAACATCTAAACAAGCTGCGATGTCGACCTATTTTGGCTTTGAATAATACACTTGACGACTTTTTCATGACAGTGGTTCTTTCAGACATCATTTCGATAATTCTACCATCCATTTAATATTTAGATTTCCAGACGAAGTACATACAATATGTTTCAGAAAATTATAAATTGATTAGAAAAATGTGGGATCGAACCCCCATCCATTGATACCATTACACCAACGAGCCCGGCGTCGAATATATTTCGCGTTTTAAACCATTCAAATTGTTATATTTTAATTTAAAATCGAAAATAAATTGAAGAATTTTTCGACTCGGGCAGGACTTGAACCAGCATCGTCAGCGTTCCGTGCTGTTGCTCTACCAATTGAGCTACCGAGTTCAGTAAAAAATAAAAAAGTTTTCAAATGTTATATTCTACTCAATGTACGTTTATAAAGACACACCTCTGTTACACGTCTCTTTATCAGTAATTAACAAAATTGTTGAAACTATAAATTCCGTTTGTGGTATCTTTAATTAGTTATCCTTATCGTGATGACGAAATTCTTGCTAGGTACGATCACCTCTGGGATGGAAAAATACAGTTTCGCGTCGATCATAAAGCAAATAATTCGGTTTGCATTCATGTATCTCATTTACGCACTATTTGTCTGTCTGTGTTTACAGAACTTGTATTTAATTACACATATACAATATTTGTATTTTAATAATAATAAATTTATTATGTACTGGGCGTAATAATTGTAGAAAGTTGCTAAAGATAAAACAAACTTCGTGGTTCAATAGTAGCTCACAAAAGTAAGCTAGTTTAAAACAGACACAATATTGTTCGCTGGTTTAAATTTATAATTATATCTGATAATTGTTTAATTAATAATTGATTACATAAACTTTGAGCCTCAGGTCTTTGGTTCAATCTAGAAAAGTGAGGAGAAGGGGAAAAATATTAATATTTAGTTGTTCTGTTTCGTACGCTGCAAAACCAAAAAACATGCCTACGTTTTAAGTTACACACGAACCGTTTTATGATACTCAAATTTTTACGATATTATGAACAACAGAACAACGTTTGCTCGTTTAGCTAGTATCAGCATAAAATGCTATGAATAATATATTTAAATTACACCAAAACGTGGTGCCTGACGATATAATTTCCTGTTTCAGACCAATCGAAGACGGAAAAACAGAAAGGACATTCGTTTTGACACCTCTCACAAGGGACTACAAATTCAGAAGACATATACGCTCGATGTCCGACGTCCAAAGCAGTACACCATACAGACTGCCCTTCAGGGCGAAGAATAACTTGATGCTAACCTACGATTCTGACACAAGAACCAGAAGAACTTACAACAGATACGATTCTTCAGACTCCAGCGACTACAGTGATTCCAAGAGGAGGATGAATTATGAAATAATCAAACATTCGGACTCCATGAGGATATTATAAGATCTGAGGCACATTTTGGTTTTTGACTGCACAATGGGGATTACTACTAGCACATGCCACATTTGACTTTCAGTGTGTAAAGCGTTCACTGATTTTCCCAACGCTAAACTATGTCTGGAAAATGCGGATATTAATAAGATAGTACCAAAAATACCACAGATAGAAAATCAGCGCAGAGGTGCCTATCGATTTAGTCTGTGGAATAAAAAGATTGACAGCGACTGGGACCAGCGCGACATTCCATCAAGTGAGCCTATGCTTTAGTAGCCTTACAAAGGCTTACCAACTTGAAGAAACCTATTTAATCGAAGTACGCAGCTATCACATCAAAAGAAGCAAGAGGACGAAGCAAGTTTGCTGGTTAATAATAGTTATCATAAGATATAATTGCCATATGTGTTAAATTCGTTTTTTTAAACCATTAAAATTCCAACGTGCCTTAAGTAAAATTAATATTAACTTTTTATTCCTAGAATAAGGAGGTTTAATAATTTTAAATTATTAAAAATAACAAACTGTAATAGTAATTAATGTAGCTTGCGACTGACATACAAACGGAAATAGGGAAAGATCCAGATTATAATGTACCTACAATTCTTCGAACATTATCATAACATGAAGAATGAGGTTCTATATCTGTAAAACATAAACTATGTTTCGATTTACGATAAACGAAAAGTTCTTCGTATTGTTTATTATCTGTTATTGGTAGATAAAAATTGGTTTTCCTCGTGTTAATCTTTTCTAGTTAAACCAATTTTTGCATTATTTTATGTGAATACTTTATTGATATCTAACTAAATGTAATCTTAATTTGATATATTGTGCGTTATATTGTGTCCAATTTGCATTAACTTAAGTAAAATTTCCTTAAGACTGTGATCGTGAAACAAATAATAATATAATTTAAGTAATTATTTGTATTATAGTTATGTAGAATTATATTTTAAGAAAGTGATCTAGATGTAAGATTAAGCTATAACAGGTTTTAGCTTTAGGTTTGTATCGTGAATCACTAAATATAATTCTTTTTGTTTATCTTGACGTATCTTCTGGATAAAAGTTAAGATTAATAATTTTTTATTTCTTGTAAAAATCAATATTCTTTTCTTTTAAATCCATTAAGTATATGAATCCAATCTCATTAATTTCCGTTAATTCTGGTGTCAAAAAAAGCATGTTTTGATAACAAAAATAGTATATTAGTGGATTCAAAAATAATACTGATATAAATCATTTTATACATAAAAGTAAAGGGTCATGGTTAAACCGAGACACGTTTTTATTCTTTTAACGTACAATTGATCCATAATTTTGCAATAACAGGGATTCTATTGTCAATGCTAAAACAAACATGTATCTAACGTGTCCTTAGTAATTTGCTTAGTCTACAACCAAAGGTTGGTCGTTTGCATGTTACATGTCATGCAATGTAGCGCTGAATGTCAAAAATAGTAATAATTATCTTTATATGATATCTGGCATTGCATATTTGCCACTAACGGATTGCACAAATGTTTTTATTTCTTTTTCTGTCTGAGTTAATATGGAAAATAATAATTGTATTGCACTGGCGTGATAAATTTTGTTAAATATGAAAAATATAAGTTTTACAATTATTTGGTGCTTTTATTTTAATGTTTCTTGAATTTACGTTCTAAATCTGCCTCTGTTACAGTTTTCATTAGTATCTTAGTTCAAGAAAAAAACCCCCCATACGATTGAATTCATATTAATGTAAGGATTGTTTATAGCGCTATCTAGCGAAATATTTTTGAAGTTTCAAGTCTATGGTATAAATAGGGCTGCTAGTGCGAAAATGAAGTGTTATTACAAGTGACAAAATAAATATGGTTTGACATTTCTGACATGTCAAATTTGACATAATTTTTTCGAATTGGCATTACATAGTGCAATTGTCGATTTTCATGTTGTAGACTGCAACTTTTCTTTGTGTCTTTGTGTAGTGCTGGAAAACTAAAATTGGGCGCGCTTATTTTGAAATTGTAATTTTAAAAAATTAATATGTGTTTAGCAATCACTATTTGATTTATTTTTTTGTACTTTTATAAATATTATTTAAGGTTTAATTGTGGTAAGTCAATTAACAATACACGCAACGGATGCTTACGTACTTAATCTAATTTAACTGTAATTGGTATTGTTACATGAATGAACTTTTTTTTTCAGAATGTATTAAAAATGAAGATATTAGCAATTTTATTTATTTTAAAGCTTATAAACGCGGATCCGACGCCGATAGTGTTATGGCATGGAATGGGTAACTATTTTAAATATAGTTTATTTTTATTGTAAATGTCATCAGTCTCCTTTAATCTTTTAATATTCCCACAAATGGGACTAAGACCCAATTAAAAAGGTATTTAAGCTATAATCTTCCACGGTGACTATGAGTGTTGATTTGATTAGATACATATTTCGTCAGTAGCGTCGGTTTTTGATGCTAGGACACGGCGGTGGCTTAACGATGTTTTCCTTAAACAGATACCTAGCACGTATTACACCAAATATTATAGTAAGTACATGACTAGAGATCTAAATAGATATTAACACCTAGTATGACCCATAAAAAACAATACGCCCTCTCAAATGATTACTGGTATACTTAACCAAATATGTATGAACCACAATTTGATCAGCAAAATTCAAATAATTTATTCCATACCAAAGAATATTATACATGTATACAAAAATACCTTAATGGTTTACAATTATTACATACACTATCTTTGCTGTGAAAGGACATCACTCAACTGTTGTTACAACAACAGTTTTGTTGCAGCGCCATAATATAATAAATATTTTATACTCCCATTTTACGTTAATAATTTCATTTTCTACTTCCAGGTGACACTTGTTGTTTTTCATTCAGTTTGGGCTCATTCAAAATATTTCTCGAAGATCAAATCCCAGACGTTTATGTGCATTCTTTGAGGATCGGGGATTCTATCATAGAGGACATGGAAAATGGCTACTTCATGAGTCCAAATAAGCAAGTGGACTATGTCTGTGATAAAATTTCCAACGATCGGAAACTACGGCATGGATTCCACGCTATAGGTTTTTCACAGGGCTGTCAGTTCTTGTAAGTTGTTAAAATATTTACGTTTTCTTTTTTAACTATTACATATAGTTATTTTTTAGTAATAACGTGAAATACTCTCTGTAGTTTACGCGAATAGCACACATTTAAATAAAACATTTAACGGTTTAAAACGCGATATATATATGCTAAACTTATTTGAAAATAATTTTAAGTAACTCGGGAGCTTTGCAGCCCTGGTCACGGGGAGACTACGAATAGTTTTAATAAGTTTAACTATAAAGTTAACTAATAGTTTATTTAAATAAAATGGAAGGCTAATTTCCGTTATTTCAACGTTGTGCATCTTTCTATTTATGCATACATATAAACAGGTTGATTTTATTTATAGTATTTCTAACAATAAATGTCTCACTGGGATTCGAACCCAAAATCCACTGAGCCACGGATCCATATATTAATCATATATTTAATGCTATTTTACAGATATATGAACATTATGATATCTATTACAATAATTTTCTAGCCGCGCTGTAATTCAGCGCTGCGGTCACAAATTACCACAAGTAAAGAACTTCATAAGCCTTGGAGGGCAGCATCAAGGAGTTTACGGGCTGCCCCACTGTGGTGCCCTGCAGCACCAAAGTTGTGATTATATCAGGAAACTGCTAAATTACGCCGCATATTATAGGTTAGTAGAGCGTTTTCTCAGTACGCATTCTTTGATTAAGCTAACAATTATTTAAAAAAAAACGAAACAATCTTTACTATAATATAGTGTTGGTTAGAGCAATTATCGAGAAAAGCTATAAGCTTACACGCTATATATGCTATTAAACATTGCGATGTGACCAATAGCGAAGAAAAAGCGGGATATGTGAAAAAAAACATGAGAATTTATTCATCTCCGTTCCGATGCGTACGGTACGAAAACAGTTTAACATACCCCAAAACTATGTATGAAAGAATGATTCCTGTTTAAATGATCCGAAAATTATCCGCGACCGTATATATGTCTATCTTGTAAGCATAACTTGCAAGAACGACAGGATCCGAACTACATCGTGGAACAGCTTAAGTTTATAAAGATGAAGGGGTTTGCAAAAACAAAAATTGACACCCAAAATAACGATTCTCGCGGGCGAAGTCGCTGACACAGCTAGTAACGAATAACATTCCTTTTATGCGAGTTAGGAAGAGAATGCCATAACATTCCTTTAATAATCGTTTTGGTTACTAATTGTGTCACACTAGGAAGTAATTTCACGCTAGTTGCTCGCAGTTATATAATATGTCACTACTTAACACAGTAATACGTTAAAGATTAGATTTATATGTAATTACTAAATTCTTCGCGAGTTATTGATGTAAATTTAATAATGAATTTTTTTAATGATAGAGGAGGACAGACGCGCATGCGTATCACTTGATGGTAATACTTCAGACATATAACATAGAAACAAGTGATTCAACTTCACGGCTTTTTCATCTAATGGACGGTAGCTTATGACCCGGGTGGAATTTCGTTATTTCTACCGCCAATTTAATATCCAGACTTACAGTTCTAATCCAACACGTTTCAAAAAAATTAGAAACACATTGGACCCGATAAGAATCAAACCCGCGACCCGTTGATTGCTAGTGGTAGCTGTGGGTGCGATTACCTGTATTAATATTTTAAATTGTTCAAAGCCAAGAACTAATACTTTTAAAGTCTATTATGACCGAAAAAGTAAACATTTCAAATTAACGATAACACACAATTGCAGAGTCAACTGTAAATATTATTATAGCAAACACACAAAGGTTATCGGCGTGTACGTTGCTCTCAAATATTGTGTCAAGCAGCCTAGACCAATGTCATTAGGTGCATATACACATCTTGTGGCGCATTATTTTAAACCCCAAAATGAAACACTACCAAACGATAGATTTCAGCTGAAATCATTTTACATGTGTGGAATCCCTTTTCCCCCTCGTGGGGCATGGGGCGAAAACATTTCTTTGTCCGTTTCACTGATCCGCTCTTTAACAGGCAAGTAGTTGATCAGACTTCTGTGCCCTGCCTGACCGAAACAATTTTTTGTTTTCCTGGGATTCGAACCCAGGGCACAGGGCGGTCACATCAAAATGATGTGTCCGCCTCTGTAGCCAAATGGTAACCACACATCCACATAAGGAAATTTATTTCTTTAACCAGTATAAATTAAAAATCAATTAAAATTAAAAATTTTTACGACTCAGGCAGGACTGGAACCGGCCTCCGCAGCGTTCAGCGCTGTTGCTCTAACCAATTGAGCTACCGAGTGCTACATGTTATCGAATTTTTTCGCGCAATGTAATTTCAACTTAACACTTGTGTTATGCTTATATACTATAGATGCCGGTTTAAGAGTCGTAAAATAAATGTTTAATTTACATCATGTGCTGTTTTACTAGGTGTTGCTAAAGTTGCAAAGATGTGCTAAATAGGTATTACATGATAATTAATTTGCAATAATTATAACCCTTTATGGCCGTTTTTTGTTTTAGCTGGCTTCAAAAATCCTTAGTACAAGCCACATACTGGCACGATCCACTGAATGAGAAAGAGTACAAAAAATATAGTCAATTTCTCTCAGACATAAACAATGAAATAAAAACCAATAATACATATGTCGAGAATTTAAATGCACTGGAACATTTCGTAATGGTCAAGTTTAACAATGATACGATCGTGCAACCCAAAGAAACGGAGTGGTTCGGATTCTACGAACCAGGGCAGGCGAAGAAGTTGATCACTCTGCAAGAATCTGAGCTGTATTTAAAAGTTTGTATTTAGCACATACATTTAGATATTAAGTGAATGTTTAAATTAAACGACTTAACGGTTTAAAACGCAAACGCATGCAAACATACGAAACGTCGAGCCGTAGTTAAAAAATGTTCAAATGAGTTTAACTAAATACTGTCTATAGTTTACGCGAGTAGTACACATTTAAATAAATCACTTTAACGGTTTAAAACGCGATATATTAGTTAAACTTATTTGAAATGATGTTTAACTTCGGCCCGACGTCTCCCCGTGACCACGGCTGCTGCAAAGCATCCGAAACGTCGGGCCGAAGTTAAAAATCATTTTCAAATAAGCTAATATATTTCGCGTTGTAAACCGTTTAAGTGTATAGTAGTTACATAAATGTGTAACTAGTATACAATTAAGGGAATGATCTAACTGTTAAGTTGCTTACTTTCCTTTACATATACATTGGGATTTTACTCTTAATATAGTCATATCGTTTCTAGTTAAGAGAATAATAAATAAAAAAAAAAACATTTCAGGATAAATTGGGCCTCAAGCGAATGAACGACGCAGGAAAATTGGTTTTCCTCTCGGTTCCCGGTGATCACATCCAATTTTCCGAAGAATGGTTTGTAGAGAATATTATTGAGCCATATCTTTCAACTTAAGATCGGTGATAACGGCAGGGAAAATGGGATATCTGTGTCAATTATTCAAGATTTTAAGCAATTATTTTTACGTATGTGTAATGTAACTATGTACTGATGTGAATCTCATATAGAAATAAAACGTTATAAAATCAAAGTTGTCAATTTAGCCCCACTACATATAATAGCGCCATCTATATCCTAGAGAAGCAGTTAATTTACCACAGTTTCGTAAAGTGGCGCTGGCTACGCGCCATTGTTCGCAAAGGTGGTTAATTTTTGCATATAGTAACACTATAAAAGTAAATGTTTAAACTTAAATTATTGATAGATTTAGTGATCTACTTAGATAGATATTTCCATATTTGGTTGACGTTTTTAAACAGGTTAATTTATTATATTTCATACAGGGACATAGGAAAAATTACTCCAATAAATTCACAAGATCATCGCAGTGTCTTATATCCTTATCTTTATCGGTTTGTGTGTTTACATGCACGTAAACACGAACACATCTATTATGTTCTGAACTTCGTTTGATGAAGGGCGCGTTAGGTCCTCGTAGCTTGTGAAGAGGGAACTTCACGAGACAGGATAGTTTACAGCGTTCTGCTATCTTGAAACTAGAAAAAGTAGATATTTTAGAATGAGGCTGCTAGAGGCAGAGTGGCCCAATAACAGAAAAACATGATGTGATAAGGAAGAAAATAAAAATGCGCAATTAAGGCTAAAACGAACTTGTACTATTATTTGTGTACCAATTGTGTTAAAAATTTTCGGATACTGTGCTCTTGTATATTAACATTTTTAGACTATGAAAATATAAATAACTCTAGTCATAAGATTTGTAGGCTACTCTGCCTCATATTAGACAAAAGTTAATTCTTCAAAAACATTTTTATCTTCTAACTTGAATTTCTACTATTCATCTTAATACTATAAGGTACCTATATAAAATCAGGCAAAGTTGACCGATACACGGGAGACATTTGTGGAGCTGACATCAAATTTTAATATCGATATCCGGTAACGATTGAATCAATGTTATTGATAAAATCAATGAAACAGGGCCTGGAGTGATGGAATCATTAATCACATATTTCTCATATTAAAAAAGTAACTACGTTTATAGATGTATTTGGATGGATAAAAGCTATGGGCGACCTACCTTAATAGAAAATAATAATATAATGTAGAAATAAATATATAGGCTATTAATATTACGTATATATGTAAGAAATAAATAAAGCCACGAACTTACTCATAAGGATTAATACAATCCATTCTGACAACATTATAGTTAAGTTCCTGAGCCTGCTCCTTTGATTTTTCCACCAACATCGAAGCCAAACCTTGCCGTCGATATTCCGGTAATACAGTTAGCATTTGGATCTAAAAAACACAAGAACAAAAGCACCTCCACATTGATATAAATGCATGAAAGTGACTGCTTGGAAGGTGACTTTGAACGTGCACATGCTTTCACGAGTTTTATAAAACAATGTCTAAATATCATTCCAAGTTAAGTTTAATTTTTAAGTAATAATAATATATTATTACTGTTTATCATACGTAGTTCTTTTTATTTTAATATAAACAAATTTAGCATTTTTATATGAAACAAATATATTCCGTGTTTTAAACTGTAATATAGTTCTATTTGATCTTGAATTCAAAGGTACATTGCGCGAGAGGTGCATGTATCAATAAGTTGAAATAATTCGACGATGCGATGTGGGACTCGGTAGCTCAGTTGGTTACAGCAACGGCAAGGAACGCTGACGATGCCGGTTCAAGTCTTGCCCGAGTCGATTCTCTTTACGATTTTTAAGCTAACTATGGGTAATTAGCAGGGTGTAGTTTGCTCACCTCAAATATCTTAGTTTGGTTGAACAGGTTCCATAAATTTGGCGTTTCTTGTAGTTTTGCTATGAAGTACATGAAATCTTTTGTGTTTGGGTCCTGTGAAAGAAAGCTGAATAGAATGATTGAAGACTTCATATACACTACTTGTAATATTGTATACCTGTCGATAAAACGCAAAGTTCCTCAGATTTTTCGGATCAACGGGGCTCAAAGCAAAGTTAATGCAAAGTCCTGCTACTGCACCGTCTTCTGTTTTAGCATAAATAGAATTTCCTACAAAAGGTAACCATTTTAAGCAATACTAATTTCTTACGTATAAAAAGTATATCATATATAAATAAATTTCAAGCCAGTCATAATAAGTTATACTTATTTAAAGATTTTATTACAAATATCAACACACACTTGACCACGCTTTTTATTTGTTAATATTTAGTTAATGTACGCGAAGGGCAAAACTAAGTTTTACACTTAGTAAGTAGTCTAAAAAATTTACTTTTGCATTTACATGAAACAATTTTGTTTCGACGAGCTTTGAAGCCAGAACCAACGCTTGAGCAACACGTGTTAAGGAAATAATAGTCTTGCTTATTATTATAATAGTTAATCAAACGTTTTAAAAATATAATTATTGATTTCTTATACCTTGTTTGAATATGCTTAAAAGATATTCGTCGATAGCTCTATCTTCGCTGAGGTCTATTTTACGTGAGCGGGAAATAATATGTTCGCTCAAATAATATCTCTTGATAATATCTAACGCCATCTCTTGGTTTTCAGCTCTCAAGTGCTGTATGTTAAGTGTTTCGTGCTGAAAAGAGATTGCTAGTTATATTTTGTACTAGCACGTGTCTTGTTGGTCTTGTAGGGGCATTAGACTTCGTACGACCCCTGCTTGTATACCAAAGGCTATATTAATTTTTTTAATAAAGAGTAGAACAGACATGCATAGGATCCAATTGTGGGTAGGTGATATATCCCAGCCATATAACATCTAGACAAGACGCGCTGTTGAACTATTTTGGTGTTTAATATTCGGAAATTCACAAAGTGATACCTAACGCGATTAAACTTCACGGCTACTTACATCTGTGGAGGGTGTTTCGAGACGGAATTTCGATGTTCCTATCGCCCATTTAAGATTGAGATTTCCACACTTTCTTTATTGTGAAAATCATGAAGACAAATAATGTAATCAATATTCCGTAATATTCAGAACGACATTCATGTTTACATTATAGAACCCTCACTACACACTTTAAATAAGGTGAAATTACTTTTTCTGGTTGTAGCAAATCCTTGATGCCAAATACATTGTGACATTTTCTACAATGCATTATGTTTAACGTCCTTATCAATGTTAAACATTTTTTAGATATTCTCGCCACGATCATTTTGCACAAAAAATTTCGAAAAATTCTTATAAATCTATTATTGAACTGACAGCAACAATAATAGCGCAGAGTGATATTAGCAAAATAGTGTCAAAAGAAATGACTGAATAAAAAAAGAAGAACAAAGAGGTAAATCTCTAAATCTACCACAAATATGATTTGAAAACAATAAACACCTTATGAAATGATAAATTTTAGCATTCCTTAATCAGGATTTTAATTAATCTTAAGATAACATAAACTTTTATTACGTGCTAACATATCGCAGTTGTTAATTATGAACGGGTTATAATAATTTATGTACGTTGCATTTTATTATTATGATTTGTATTTTCTTCGTAACAATCATTATTACTAAAAGTTTAGAACTGAATCTCATCGATGTGACAACGAAGACCGAAATCGGATCCATTGCTAAATCTTTAGAAGATGATAAAACTCTAGACGTAACAACAATAGATGGTAGACGATATTGGCTTGTGTCAGCGATCGATGAGAAAGTAACTCAAAAAAATAAAGAAGTCGACGATGAGAAAGATGAAAATTTAAAAGGTAAAATAATGACTTTAGTAGATCAAACGATTTACGATACGGAACAGAAGATCAATTCACTTCAGAGCTTAAAAGATGTCCATAGATCCGAGCCTCCTTATAAAGCCGGATTCATTTTGAGCTTGATAAAAAAATCTAAGGACGTACTAAACGAACTATTTAATGTCGCTATAAAACACAAGAATGATTGGAAAGCTTTGGAACAGATGAAAGTATTTGAACTTATTGTTCATACTAATGTCGATACGACTAATCTTGTAAGGCAGTTAGTTGAAGTTCATATCCAATATATGAACGCTACCAATACTGGTGATGGTAGGAAGAGAGTGGTACTTCTTAAGTAGGATAGACACACTACCACTTAGTAGGAAGTAGGAAAATTTGTATGCAATTCAAGGAAATTATACAAAAAATAAACAACAATGTTTAATGTTTTTTTTTCTTTGTGTATGTTTGATATGTACCATAAAAATATACTGTGTGTAGTGGTAATAGCCAAATCCAGTTAGTTAAAAAAAACTGATTAATACCGGTATAAGAAACATAGTTTAATAAAATGCACAGTCACGGTAACGAAAGAAACAAATACGTAAAGACATCATAATCGTCATTTTTGCTAAGGACTCACTACGTTAGCTAATAATTATTTAAAATTTCGATTCGATTAGAAATTTTGATAACACAAGTGGAACTCGAACTGCGGTGCGTTGTTGATAGAACAACAGCACCGATGTTGTTAAGGATTCAAATCCGGCTATCTCATTTTAATTGAGAATTTAACGATATAGTCCGATATGTGTGCTTTATCTGCATGGATTAGTTATTTTGGCTATCAATTTATTTTTGCAACTTTGTTGATGCAAATCTAACAAATAATTGGGTAATAAATACATTTTTCTTACAACTTCGATAAATTTGATTACCATAAAAAGTCGAGTTCATCTAAAAACATGTCGCGGACATTTTTATCTTCCAAATAATCATTCTTCCAAACGAATTTTTTTTTATAGAACGATCTGCGTGAACGGAAGCCTTTATAGATGAATATCCCCCTCTTTTCCACATTTCCCACTATTTCTTCGCTCTGCAGCTTGATGTTATTATAGCCTAAAGCGTTCCTCGATAAATGGTCTATCCATCACAAATTTCAATTCGGAGTACTAGTTCCTGAGATTCGCGCGTTTAAGCAAATCTTCAACCTTATAATATTGGTATAGATTGAACAATACAGTCAGTTCTGGTCCTCACTTTATTCAAATATGCACTGTAAAATAAAAATACTAGCTCACTAGCAGCGGACCGCACGAAAGTGGATCTCCTAAATGCATGTAAACTATAAATATAGATTTCACGTACGAATAACTCTTCCCCAATTTGTATAAAAACGGTAACCAAAGCTTTGCATTTCATAAAACAAAAGAGCTTAACAATGGAAAAATGGAAACTTTTTTTGGCTTAATATACAATGGAGTCTAGGTGAATGTGAAATAGATATATTTTGAGTGTAGGGCTGACCGATACTTTTGAATAAACAGTTTTATACACGCACAATTTACAGTGTTTTGTAGGAGATTTAGGTACCGAACAAAGCTTTGGCAGAATATTATATGTAGGTAAACATTATCAATCGCATACATTTAGCAAAAAAATTAAAAATTATGTTTTATCCTTGAAGTTTACCCAAACAAATTTCCGGATTAAAAGACACCTTGAATTCTTAAAATTTCTTTTTTTAAAAAAAAACTTTTTAAACGGTTGTGAACCCAAAATTTTTTGGGAAACTATTTACCCCTTTTTTTTTTTTAAACCCCCGGGGAGGAAATACTTGAAATACGATATAAAAATTACAAATTTTAACTAATATATTTTGCGTTTTGAACAAATGAAAGTGTATATATGTATATATATGTGAATTGTCCCTAGCTGTAACAAAACTTATTAAAAAAAAATCGGTGGTTCCTGGAGTTTATCCTTCAAAATTTTGTTTATTAAAATTATTATGATTACTAAATAAAGCTCCAATTTGAGATTATATTTCATAAAACAACACGACTACAAATTTGTTGACTGTATGTTTATTTACTTTTAAAATATATCGTTGCAATTATAATTTTCTGTAATGGCAACAATATGCGCGACGAAACGCGTTACATAGTCTGTTTTAACTTAAGATTTAGTTTAGTATAAGTTATCTGTGGATGTATATACACTTTTTATATTTTATTAATTAAAAAGACAGTGGACAGACAGCCCTCGACCCCAGTTGAGAGTATATTAATACAGCGCTGTGTTATTGCTAAATTGATCATTGTTTCGGCAGTTGCTTTACGAACATGAATTTGGTAGCGTGCAGAGCTAAAAAATATAAACTGGTAGGTGTACTCTTATTGTAACGTTTTTTTAAATCTTTATTTTAAGGGCGTAACGTTTAATAAGTTATGTCACCAAATAGAACTTTAAATTTACAAATAATATATACACACTGGAATATTTTAAGTTTTTAAAGGCTTCAGTAGTGTAATTTACCCTTTTAACGGTTTAAAACGCAAAAGTTTAGAGAATTTAGCGTTTCGAATTTCGACTAAAGCAATCGTGGTTACGAAAGATCTGCAATCTGACTTCGCTAAGTTGAAGTTGAATTTTTGTATTTTATTTCAATTTATAAAGAAAAAAGACCATAACCCAGCCGTGTCAATTGGTAATCTTAAAAGATCTTCCTTATACTGTTCTTTTTTATAAATATCTAAATTGATAAAAATAATGTAATTATAGCGCCCTAATTAAGCATAAATTATAGATTTTTTTTTGTTTTCTGATTTAATTTTCTCTTCCCTTTTTCCATAATTTATTTTTTATTAATTTTCATAGTCTGTAGTCACTTAATGTTTTTAGTTTTAATCTGTAGCATCATTTTTATGTTTTTTCTCCCATACATTGTCTTTGACTTTTAGATAAGAATTGGTCTTACGCGCATGTGGTCCTATTCAATTGAATAAAGAATTTAACACGTAAAAACATAAAGTCAGGTTAAAATATAATTAGAAAATAGTATTCTACACATTCTATATGAATCTAAGTATTATCTACCATACCAACAGCTATCATTTGCCATTCCGCGCCATATCCGTACGAAAATACGTTACTGCAAACAAACCGTTTTGATATTTACCTTTTTTATTTATTTAAAGTTAGTATTGTCTGTAGACAATAAAGATGTTATATGGCTGGGGGAAATTACCTTCATTCGAGTTAATTCCATATTTGTCTGTCCTCCTTGGTCAAGAGAAAGTAATGGAGGCGATGATTATTAGTTGATTAGTATCTAAAAGTCTTGAAATGGGCAGGATATCGATATATAATAGGATAGGAATATCGAAATTTTACTTGACCACAAACCACAGATAAAAAGTGTGAGGTATAATCGCATTTCAATTTCAGTCTGTGGATTTCTGAATTCCAAAGGTAAAAAAGGTTGACAGCGTATCTTGTTCAGATGTTATATGGTTTGTATATTTTTTATCTTTTTTAAAGTGAGTATGGGGATGCTTGTATGCCCGTAACTCTCACAAAATACAGAGTTGTCATCATCGTTAACTTTGTATAACCCATAGATCGCATTGCTTTTATTTAAACATGTTGGACGTCGTCTGAAAATCTGGATATTATATAGGTGGTAGGAATCTGGAAATTTCGTCCGGATAACGAACCACCCTCCACAAATGAAAAAGCCGTCAAATTTAATCGCGTATCGGCTTCAGTCTATGGATCAACGAAAATCTAAGCCACAAAGTTGTCGACAGGGCATCTTATTTATACTGGCTGGGGTATTCCATCTACCATCAAGTGAACCCTGGCTGATCAGTGTGAAAAAAATGCCGCTAGTGATTAAAATCATACTTACTTTATTAGGTTGTTACTTTTAATATTAAAAGTTTGAATCCTACTTTGCCTTTTTCGACGTCGGAACAAGTATCAAGTCGATTCAGCCGACTACAGTGTCCAGCGACTTGGGCAGTTTCTTTCATTCGAGGTAGAATTCACAACTAATTGTGGCATTAAACAATAGAACCTCTTAGCGATACAAGTAACGCGCCCGCCATTGTTCGTTTATATGAACATTTCGAAATTGCGCGGAACGGCATATTTTAAGTTACTACTTGAAAATACGGGTAAGTATGATGTTTTGAACAATGCTTTTGAGGCTGTGGATATGAAGATTGGTTGCGAAAAAACAAGAATTCTCTGCTCTCGTGATGGTATAAGATAGATATGTACCTATCATGTAGAGATGACAATACGATAATTAATCAAATGTCGTCATAAAATCAATTTAGATTTTAAAAAAATACACGGGCTGGTATTGAAAATTTCCATAGTCCAAAACCTAAAGGGAAATTACATCGCACAAGATTTGTATGTACATAACAAAAAAAATCGATTATGACGCGAGGGAAACGCAACTACCAACGCGAAACTTTTTAACCACTGAACCAACTCAGCGGTGTGTAAGAACTTACCCAATATTATGCATATATGCTGCAACTATTTGTCACGAAAATTATTAATATCAAAGCGATATAAGATGGTACTATAGTAGCACATGTGTGGCTTATAATCAAGTCGTGGTTTCTATTACCACCGGTTCCAACGTGAAAAACAATTTTCAATATTCAACATGATCGTTAGAATGTATTTATAAATCTGGATATTAAATGGATGGTAAGAATATAGAATACTGTCTATAGTTTGCCGATAGTACACGTTTAAATAAAACACTTAACGGTTTAAAACCGATATATTAGTTAAACTTATTTGAAAATGATTTTTAACTTCGGCCCGCCGTTTCGGATGCTTTGCAGCAGCCGTGGTCACGGGGAGACGTTTCGGATGTTTTGCAGCACCAAACGTCGGGCCGAAGTTAAAAATCATTTTCAAATAAGTTTAACTAATATATTGCGTTTTAAACCGTTAAAGTGTTTTATTTAAAAGATTAAAGAATATAGAATTCTGTCAGGGTCATTAAACACCATTTTTACAGGAAAGAGCAGCGGTGCAGCTGTGGATTTCAAAAAATCCAAAACCGAAATAGGTCGACAGTATAGCTATTTAGATGTATGGCCGCGGTATTTCACCTCCCATTAAGTGAACCTCGTGCTTGCCTGCCATCTTCTGTCGTTTGAACTTTTAAACGCATTGTTTATTATAAAATAGACACAAAAGCCCAACAATAATCAACTGTCTAATGTTTATTTAATGAAAACCTCCGGACAAAGGCAGTTTTTAATTAATTAAATTCAATGAATGCTAAAACATCACTTGCCTCCCAATGATTCTCAGACAAAGC